ATAGTAATTCATTTATGTTGACATTTCAGCGATAATATCGTGGAAATGTACATATAATTATATAATGCGTATCTATATTTATACATACATACATATGTACCAGTATTTGTACATAGCACATACAAATGTATGTATGTATGAACGAATGTTAGTTTGTTTGGTTCATTATTAACAACAATGTAATTAAAATTGAATTAAAAGCAAAAATTTATGAATAAATTACATAACAAACATAGATATTTGTGAGCTAATATAATCGATGGCGTTAATGGTTTTCCTTTTTATTATTTTTACATTAACTTTTTTCCGCTGCAGTGGTTTTCATTGTTTCCCAGACTTAATAAATCATTGAAAATATGTGTTGCATATGTACAAATTGCATCCGAACCTGTATCGCATGTATGTATGTACGCGCGCATGTAACATTTTATGATTGAAAAAAAAAAAATGTAGGTGTTTTCACTTCCATTTAGACCACAATCAAATGTGTTAATATGCTCGTACTGGCGATGGTGTGTATGTATTTATGTATGAGTATTTATAGTATCTGTATGTTAGTAAGCATAATCAGGCCACATAAAATCCAAGCAGTGTAATCATTTGGCGCAAAATTTATTCGCGAGTAGTAAATTAGGAGAGTATCTATTCTAGTTTCTTCATTTTCCTTTGGAAGTGATTGGAAACATGTCTTTCGAAAATGGTGCACACAAGACTGCCTATAAATATGTCTTAAGGAACATTTAAAAAAAAAACATCCATAACCGGTAAATAAATATTCCGCGCTTCTATTAGCTTAAGGTTATATTTTATCTTTTTTCTATCTTTATGCCTACCTCTACCATTTTCTTTCGTCGATAATAAAATCGAAAAAAAATATCGACAAAATAGTCGATATAAATATCGATAATATGATCGAAAAACGATATCGAGATTCCGCACTGATTTGGACCAAAAACGACCCCATTTTCCAAAGAAAAAGTGACCATCTAACATTTAGCACCTCTCGACTATTTCCTGTTTCCGAACGTGCAAAGGTATCACGAAACGCTTATTTTGTGGACCATGAGAAAATCTATTATTGGGAAAGCATAGTTAGATAAAAAAAGCGCCGAACCAGATGTATCTCTACGTAAACTTTTGGAAGGCATCTGACCCAAACTATGAGGACGCCAAACTAACTCAAAAAAGGTCAGTGTTGCCACGGACAAATTTTTTTTCCTACCAAAATGTCCTACCAAAACCAACTTAAACTTACCAATTTTTTTTTTGACCTAAGAAGATCTTTTGTGCTATAACCTAATTGTAATCACTCCAACCTGTGGATATTTAAGAAGCTAAGCACTTTGGAAGGTGTCATGTTACAAATTTTGGATTGAGCAGACCATCGTTCTCCAAGGTGTATCAGTCTGCTGTTGATGATACATGCGGTTTCCTCTATCATCCCAATTCAAATGGTACCTTAACTTGCAGTGTCCTATTAGGCAATCAGCAAGAGTTCTAAGACCCTCCCGGCTAAGCTAAGGAGTTTTTCGAATGCACTTCCAACAGGCTCGGAACCATGCATGTGCATTTTGGCTCCACGCTTTGCGAGACAGTCAGACATTTCGTTGCATTCATGTCCCAGAACTCACCAAAGCATTACGCTATTGTAGACTCACAGATGCTTCAAAACAGTTGTTTAGCTGTCCACAAGCCTTGGTGCCAACTGAAAAGAGTGTCATGCCTTTAACGCTGCCTGAATAGTCAACATGAAGACATTCGCGAACACATATTTCGATTTCGAAGACTTCCTCCTGGAATATGGTATGTGCCCGTCGGTATACCATACTCGGACTCTCTGTCAATCATAGTGTTATCGCTTTCCCGTAGTTCTTTTCAGGAGTTCTGACCTTATAGGGTTTGTAGAAGGATAACCTCGGTAGCATAATGTCCATGAACTTGATAGCGGGATCATCCAGGAATGGCTTGACCCCGAAATGACCCCGAATATCTACAATTTTCATGCTGATAATATTAGGCAGCTGTAGGGTCACCAGGCTATTTGCGCGTATGTAACAACGGGTTTTACTAACGTATTGAAAGAGTAATACCTTAGTTTGGGTGATATTCCCTAGGTTTAACCATGATGTTACTGACGGGCATAAAATGCCCTTGTAGCCTTTTGGGTTACATTCGAGAGATGTGAGTTTGAATTGAGTCTTTGTCCAGAGTTATCTCTACATATTTCGCCTATACTGAGAACCCAATTTCTGTGCCTGCCTTTTCTTCTTTTGGTAAATGGGACAATGGTGGGCTTTAGTGGGTTCATTGGCAAGCCCTTTTCAGCACACCAGTCTACGGTACAACTTTGTAGTTCAGTTCAATTAAAGTTAACTTGTAGACACATGAAGTATTTATGGAAGTTCATATTGTATATTGGCAATAATATAGGTACAATTTGTACTTACGAGTCAGATATATTTACATATTTGTGGTCGCCGCTATACCAATGCTCCGGCGAAATATTCATGTAAACAAGTTTTTTAAATGTTTGGGGATACAGATTTACTATTTTTTGCGAATGTAAAAAAAAAATCTACCACTTTTGATAGGAAAAGCCCATGTATGGCAGCACTGAGCAAGTTTTAAGTGTCCCTGCTTCTCTGCCAAAAGTATTATAGCTTTCACACAAAACCTTAACCCAAATTGTTATAAAAAAGTGTTCTTGGAGTGCTAATTTTTTATTTTTTACATAACTGAGAGAAAGAAACATAACTAGTCAGAGCCTAGAAGAAGCGATTTGTACAGTGGAAAATGCTAAAAAAAAAATTTCGCACAAATGAAGCTAGATTTTGAACAGTCTTAAATCTATACATATATCCAAATGCAAACAATCTCAAAGTTAGTTGTTGTTGGTTGACTCGGATATAAACACTGTGAATCTATCTAGAGCGTCAGTATAGAATCAAATTTTTCATGAAGACGATTCAGGACAGAGACCATCTTTAGAGAGCTATGGTCAGTCGGCGGGAAAGTCGATTTGAGCTTGCGACAAAAACTCCAGAGAATCTCTTTCATTCCATTACTTATTAGTCGCACACTAAAAGCTTGCGCAAAGTACTCAATCCAATGTCCGATTTATTGCAGGGTTTAACCAATAAATCCATTAGCTTTTGTAATAAACTCATACATTGTTTTGCCTAATCATCAGTTTTCCACCAGCAGAAAGAATGATGCATTGTAAGCACAAATAAATTTATGTTATAGCATCAATATTTAACGGCATACCTCTACGCACAGGTACAGTTATACAAAGTATGTAAATACATACATACAAGCGATGGTAAAATGTTTTATAGGTCAGCCTTTGTTTATTACATTTTATTCTCTATTTGGTAAATGGAATGCAACCGGAAAAAACATACAAACTATATAACAACAACTGTTGACATACTATGTAGGTAAATAATATTTTGTAAATTTACAAACTGACTCGTTGACTCGTTCATTTTAATTTTGCAATAACATTTACTACGATTCTATTTAAATACGAATTTCAATAGATTTGCTGAAGTAAGGCATCAGAAGAACATTTTTTTGCTGCTATGCAAATTTCAAATAGAAATTGTGTCTATTGATTTTCAAATAATCTTAGTAATAGTAATAGGACTTACCGTTGATTTTTGGGATTTTTTTTTTTGAAGATGTTGCTCATTTTCTTTTATATAAAAGAAATCGCAGAACATACTTACATAATTCGGTATGGAAGAAAATTCACAACTCCGTTTGCTGAGGCGTATGAGTAACCTGTTCACAAATACACACTGAAAAATTTCATATTTTCCACTAAATTGAACCGTTAGTTTGTTGATACGGTTTACTTATGTATATTTTACGAAAATAATGCATGCGCGATAAATTTCCAGTGAAATAAATGCATTTATAAAAAATTCAAGTGCCAGGTCCACTTTTTTTCAAAGTTTAGGTTTTGGTGCCAAGTCCACTTTTTTTATCAAATATAGTAACATGTAGTAAAAAAATATATTTTAAAATGCGAAGGTATTTTTTTAATGTCATCAAATCGGCACTATTCGTTCGATTTTCAAAACTGTAAACTCGCCTCCTGTAAACACTGTATAAGGTTTCGTTTTTGCGAAAAGATTTACCACTTGTTAAGAAATTAAATTCAAATTATTTATTTCATAGAATTGTTTGTTCTATTAGAAAAGCCTTCGAAGGGAAGCAATACTGCACCGGTGTATTTCTGGGCATTTCTCAAGCTTTTGACAAAGTCTGTCAGGATGGCCTTATATACAAACTAATATACGCATGCAATTCTGGCAAGCTTTCTGCTGGGGAGAAACTTCAGAGTCAGGCAGAATTCCTTTTAGAACGGAAAGTCACCCAATATATGCAGGTGTCCCTTAAGGCAGTGTTCTAGGACCCATATGGTACGTGATATGTCTTGCACGACGGTCGATTTCTTTGTTTTCACTTATGATTGTCACTGTGCCATGAGTTGGTTTAAATTTTTTTTAAAGTTGCTTACCACACTTACGATTGTTATAAATTTTGCTTAAATTTTTTTAATATGGTCAAATTTCGTGTTTTCAGCCTAAAAACAAAAGCACCAAACTCAAAAATGTTCGCGTTTTGAATAATCACCAAATTTGGTGCTAAGAGCACCAAGTTGGCAACAGTGAATGTAAACAAAAGTATTGTGTGACGTCAGCGAATGAGCGGATGCTGTCAAATCGGTCAAATCGACGAAGAGATTTCATTTTCTGCATCGTATCAAATTAGCCATGGTGCACTATAGGAATAACCCTACAAAGTGTATTTCTCAATAAAACAACATATTTCACACATTCATTGGAATTATATTCATTTTATTTAGTTTTCTTCTCTTGCGCATTTGTAATTTTATTTTCATTTAATATTAACTAGTTTTTTTTTTAATGTTAAATAATTTAAGCTACAATAATCGTTTCTGCTTTAATTCATCATAATAATCATAATTCATTTGCTGTTTTTTTATTTATTTGGACTTATTCACTTATGTAGTAAAATCTTCGTTTATTTGTTCTTTTTACGACACTGATGTAAAATTCTTGAAGAATTCCATTTAAAAAAGTACAAAAACGATGCTGAACACTTGTGATTGCAGATGACTTGTTGTTAAAAGGAAATGAAAACCAAAAAAATAAAAATGTTCTTTTACGCTTGTAAATGAGTGAAATCAAAAGCAGCGAAAAAGGAATTCAATATACAAACTAGGTTTGAGTATAAAAACAACAGCAAAAGCAAAAAAAAAAAAAACGAAAAAATGGACTAAAGCTATCACAGAATCCGAAAGCAGTGTAATATCGAGAGCAAAAAATCGAGTAAGTAAATATGTATGTAGTAGCCACTGTAATGCACTGTAGGTATGTATGTAAGTAACTACGAGAATAGTATGTATGTATGTATGTATATGAATGTGGGTATGTAAGGAGTTTTCGAAACAAATCAGGTACTTAAAAATTTAACATGAATAAATGCATAAGTATGTAAGTATGTATGTACGTAACTACAATAATCGTAAACATTTAACAATTAGCGTGAAACATATTTATATGTATTTAATGGAGACCTTTCCTTACTATAGCTATAGCTTTCATAGTTATACCTAAGGAACTAAGATGACTTACTTGTTGGTTGTGGCGGATTGGCAGAACGGTTAAAATGTAACTGCAGGTGTATGTTTTCAAGTTTTTATATATGTGTGTGTGTATGTGTATGTGTGTGTGTTTTGCGTTTAACTTAAACATACGCTCTAAATTTCACATATTCGCTAAATGTATATCCTAAACCAACTACTAAACATGTTTGCCACATAATATTCGTGACTGTTCTGCGAGCGAAATTCGATAGTGTTGCGAAAATTTTCACCGTACTCCAATCGCTGAGACCAGCTGGATTACGTGTTGCTGCGCGCACCAAATATGTGGTATTACGATCCAATCCATTGAGTACAAAGCGGCCACCTAGAGGGAGAGAGGAGAGAGTATGTATATGAAGAGAAAAAGTGTAAATACAATATGAAATTACACAGAGATCCTAAACAATTGCAGTTAGTTAGTACTCAATAAAGATTACTTTACATACGCATGTAAGTAATTATCCAAAACTTAACCCTTTCAATCCTATTTACCGAATGTTAATCGTATCGTTTCCAGATAATTACCACATATTCTAAGCGCGAGCTTACAAGAGACGAAAAAAGAAGCTTACAGGTGTATGGATCAGAAATTTCGGAGGTGTTAGGTCGTATAAAACCCAGTACCGAGTAGGTATGCTTTGGAAAGAATAAAATTAATGTGATTATTAAATGAAAACTTTGTCCCAAAAACTACCCCACTTCCGCTTTTGGTGTTAATCTTTATCTTGGTCTTAAGCATCGTCTTAGATTTAGCCTTAGTCTCAGTCTTAGTATTAGGCTTTGTCTAGGCCATTGAATTATTCTTGGTTTTTGTATTATTCTTAGTCCTAGCCTTAGCCTTGGTCTTAATCTTAGTTTCGGTATTGGTCTTAGCCTTAGTCATAGTCTTTAGTCTTAGTCTTGGTCTTGGTCTTACTTTCGGTATTGGTCTTAGTCTCGATCTTTGCCTTAGTCTTGGTCTTGGTATTAGTCTTGGTCATAGTTTTAACTCTTACTTTAGTCTTAGTCTTATCCTTAATCTTGGACCAAGTTCTGAAATTGAGTTCTTTGAATTATTTATTTTAACTAAATACTTACCTACTTATTCTAGAATTTTTACAAGTCTGTAAGTTTATACACGTATCACCCCTTTTCTTCTACTCCCTTTTCACCACTTACCTCGCTGAAAATGGTAGTCCTTATGCTTGGCATAACTCCAATTGCCAGCGCTGTGCTTAAAATCGCCTTCGCTCATATATTGCACCCGATAACCGAATGTACGCATATTCTCCTCAACATTGGCATATTTCTCCGATCTAATATCGAGGTCAAAGCCATCGGTGAATGCGCGTCGCAATTGAAAGCGCGATGGTCCGCTGGGCTTCTGTCCTTTTCGCAGCTTCACTATGCGCTCCAACATGCCCAACGGATTGGCAACTTTGCACTTATAATCGCCAAGTTGTGATTCATTTCGGACATGTATCTGTAGCGTTGAGCCGTAATCGGCATAGAAAATACGATAATTACGTCCGGTAATGGCACGACCCTCATGCACCCAGGTGAACGAAGGTGGTGGCTCACCCATTGCATCGCACGAAATATTCACCATACCACCGATGTACGCATATTGAACCAATGAAGTGTCATTATCGAACCAGTGGGGCTTATCTAATGGATGCAAAGTGAAAAATGTTGGAGGAGGGTGAGTGGGGGTATAGGATGTTGCACAGCAAAGGTAGCAGGGTGGAGAGGAGGTGAATTTGTCAAAGAGAAAGAACGTCGAAATTAAGTTAAGTGAATGCTAGTTTCGAGAGAATTGCAAATATGATTAGGTGAACTGTGTGCGGGTGGTATGCAAAAATTTGTATATGTATGTACATTAAAGTGGTCCAAAAATGTATGTAAAAAAATTATGTCGAATTTCTAATGCCGCCACCCCCTAAGATTGTTCTATACCGAAAAAAGTATAACCCTATTTTTTTATTTTGAAATAAGAAAAATTAATTTTATATGGGGAAAACAACTTTGCTTATCTTCAGGAGATTCCCGCTAATAATACCCAATTGTTTTTTTAACCAGTTTTTCAAGGTTACTTTATTTTATAGGTTTTCCAAACCCCCCAGAAAATGCAATGGGGGACCAACAAAACATCTTTAATATTGTTAAATAAACGATTGGACATTAATATTGGAAGTCTCCTGAAGAGAATCACAGTTTTCCAATCGAAAAATATTGTTTTTGAAAAATTGTATACCATTTCTACGAAAAGTTATTAAAATTCCGCCTTTTTTGGACCACTCTAATGTACGTATATGTATGTCTAACTACACATATGTACATAAGTGCAGGTGTACATATCTGTTTATTGCTTACGAATTTAATATAGTGGTAATGGTGATCGGTTAGAGTTTGTGCATCTAGTAAGTATTTTTAGTTTTTGATATTTGAACAATGCTTAAGTAATTTAGAAAATTTATCAAATGCATCTCTTTAGGTCACACGCACGCACGTAAAACAGGATTCAAAGTTGGTCGAACAGTGTCATACATACATATTTAGGCATGCATATATGTATGTAAGTATATGTATGCATTTGGTCTGAAATCCATTTAAGCATCAGCAGCAACTGCCAGTCAGTTTAATAAAATCCCTCTGCTCTAAATTTCCCTTCAGCTTATTCAACTTCTCAATCGCTTAAAGCGCATTCGCATACGCATGCACACATTCTAAGGACACCCTGCACGAAAACAATTCGGCTGGTGGCCGTATGTTAATGATCAGTTTTATCTTTACTAAAAGTCAGCATCTGTAGGCATTTTGATTTAAAACCGAAACCGCCAACAAACTTACGAAAACTCCCAATACAGGAGCAAAAAATGCCTATAGCAGCACCAAACATCCAAAGAAACTTAAAAATTATGAAAAAATTATTAAACTTTCTGTTAAGTATCGAAAACAACTCTAAAAATATACGGAAAATAACAATGGGTCCCAAAACACATAAAAATTGTGCATGGCTCCCACTCGCGACTGAAGTGAAACTTTTTCTTTCGATTGCCCTTATAGCTCACCACATTAAGTATCTATATGAGTATTTTTCTGCATAATAATGAACAACTTTCATAATATTAGTCTTAATCTTAATCTCAATCTTAATCTTAATGTGAAGCTTAATTTTAATCTTAGTCTAAATTTTAATCTTGATCTCAGTCTAAATCTTAACGTTAATCCTAATTTTAGTCTTAGTCTTAATTTTAACCTTTATCTTAATCCTTGTATTAATCTCAACCTTAATTTTAGTCTAAATCGAAATGTTAATCTTAATTTAATAGATTAAGAGAGGAACACTTTTAGGCACGCTGAATGAAATTATGCCGGCATCCTTGAATTGGGTTGATAACTGCGCAGTTACTAGAGGCTTAGGTGTAAACGGAGCTTGTTGTTTTCACAACAACATATAAATTGTCAACTTTTGGCCCCAACGTTCTCTGAATGGCTGAAGCATCAAGTCCTGATCCTTCACAACACCCTGGAAGCTGGGTGTCGAGGAAAAGATAGAGAATGCAAAGATCTGCCTTAATTAAAATCCGTAGGGCACTTTCTAACGGTATGCTAAATGTTGTGCCCGAGAAAACATGTAAATAGTGTACATATGTATAGTAGGCAAAGCGTGTTGGCTTCGTATATCCTATGAAGCTTCGAGTTCATTTCGGTTCAAACCGAGCCAGAGTAGATTTTTTCACCATCCATGGATCGAAGCTGACAAAGTTGAATGGAATGTGGAATCGTGTTCTGGAGGAACTCTTCATCAACCCCAAACCCAAATTCAGGTTACCCGTTCACTTCAGTTTCTGAACGTTTTCCAAGCAGGTCATTTGGACCTTTGACGGTAAACGAATGCCGTACCTTTCTCTACATTGCTTATTTGGGCTGATGTAGTTGTAGCGGCCAAGCCTCAGTAATATCACAGGTAGCTGCTGGGCCGATGAGCTAATAAGGCAGGATACTCTTGTCGCTGAGAAAGAGAATGGCTACACGTAGTTTATTTGCGGACACATGGGCTCTAAGTCCGATGCCACGCAATGAACGGCTGAGCGGCGCAGTACAAAAATGCCGCCAGCCGATCAGAAATGCCGCTAATTGCGTGGCCACTTCGATAGTATTTCAAATGTATGTTTTAATTTTAAGTCGCTCACCTCTCAGCCGCTCGCCGCTTTGCCGCTCATCGCGAGGCTTCGGTCTAAGACTGCTCAGTGAACGCTTGGCGAAAACCTCGAAATGCCAGATGGCTAGCGGCTTATTTCTACTGGTAAATCAAGTCTGCTATTAAAACTGAACAAACCATATCTCTATCTGAGTTTAGGGTATATCTGGAACTCTTTGGTTTTAATACTTTTCGAGATTTGTCAGGAAAGTTTTGGATTCTTTCTGAACTTTTCGCAATATTTTGTCCATCACTATTTAGTAATCCTTCGTTACATTTCGCAATTTCATTCGGGATGTTCTGGAATATTTTGGGAATTTTCTCGAAATTTTCGAAAACCTTTCTTTCGTAGGGAACTTTCAACTTAAAAGTTGAAAGCAATTGAAAAAAGAGAAAGTCTCTAATAACAGTTATGTTGAGATCGAGATTTTGTTATTTTACGACGATCTCAAACTGAAAATCTTTTGAAAACAGGTCCTTGTAAAAATCAAAATAATGTAATATTCTGCCCTTGTATAAAATATCCCAATCGAATTCCTACCGGGTTTCTCTTTCAGTACACATTGTATGCATGTATGAAAGTGTGTAACGTGAACTCTCTATACCTTCTAGCGGGGATTTAATGTAAAACTTCTGTTGCAAACAGTTTTGCTAAAAACTTTTGCTCCAAGCACCGAAATGCAATTCTGCCCACATTTTGTAACTTTTGCCTCCCCAGCGCCACACTCATACAAATAACGGGTGATTTTTTAAGAGCTTGATACCTTTTTTTTTAAAAAAAACGCATAAAATTTGCAAAATCTCATCGGTTCTTTATTTGAAACGTTAGATTGGTCCATGACATTTACTTTTTGAAGATAATTTCATTTAAATGTTGACNTTGGCGACAGTGCTTTGTATCCAGAAACGAAACGACTTCATTTTTGGTTCATTTTTGTATCCGAAAAACCTTCGCAAAAGATTTTGCCATTTGAAAGCAAAAATTCTATTTTATTTGTTCAAACTGAAAAGTTTAAAGCGTCTACACGTATTCGACACTGACTGACTGTGTAGACGAGGTGCTACGTTCGAATGCTGCGAGACGCAATAAAAAGATTCATTTTTCTTTTCCGAACTACGAAAAAGTATCTGTGAAGTGCAGAAGGAAACGTATTAAATGAAAAATTCAATCAGAATAACAGCCAAAAACGTATCCGGTTCACAATCATTTTCGGTACATATATAATCACTTTTCCGCCGCACACTTTAGTGGAAAAAAGGAATAGTCAAAGTATCCGAAAAGGGAATCGGTAAATGGGCAAAAATCCGCACTTCATCCACTTTTCTTTCCTTTTTCGAATTCATTTTCGGATTATGTGCTAGCTGGGATTACATGCGTACGTAGTATATACAAATACATATATAGAACCAGAGCAAAATATCGTTTCACCCAATCCAATCAATTTGTAAAGTGGTGAGTGAGTGGTGATCCAAGCCCAACTACTCACAACAACTACATACTCGTACATTGCGGTAGTGTATCTTCTTGATGATGATGCCGATAGCATTGGTAGAGTTGTTGTTGTTGTTGTAAGTGTAGTTGCTAGTTAGTGTGCACTGGAAATGCAAAATTCGCTTTGCTGCTAACTAAAGTGAAGTGGTACACCAGCCTTAACCACCTGCGCCATCTATGAGTACCAGTGTTACTCTTCGTCCCTATCCATTCTCCTTGGCACACTTTGACAATGTCAAAGTAAGTGTATGAGCATTCGCCTTTAAAGTTTCAGTTTCATTTCATTAGGCAAATGCGTTTGCGGCATTCCTGCCTGCTCGATTGCCCCTTTGCCCCCTTTGCCTGGTTACCTCTTTGCATAGCTGCCTGTGCGCTTGCCTTTGGTTCCACTGCTTATCCATTCATTCCTCCTACTTGCCTGCGTTCGTCTAAAGCTTGTTTATCGTTTAACTCCATACTTTCAAATAAAAAAAAATCCACTGGCACTGTTAAAACAAACAGCAATATTTTCAAATCCGTTTCATTTTGTTCTCTACTCTCACAAAGTTTACTAAGGAAGCTACAAATTTGCTAGCAATTAAAACTGTATTTGAGGATAAATCAATTGGGTGAACGCATTTGAAAGTGTTTGTTTTTTTTATGTTTGTCCTATATTTGTATGTGTGTCTATAGGTATGCGAATATGCAGCGCTTCAACGGGCATTAGGTTTTAATTTTATAAGGTTTCATTAGAGCTTTGCATATTGGGGAAAAAATGCAAAGAGGAAAATAAAGAGAAAAGTTTTTTTTTTAAGTACTCGTATTTTTGCCATAAAGGAAATAAAAAAATGCTTTTTCATTGCTCCTTTCCTTAAAATTCAGGTACATTTTATTTGACGTAACTGAAAAAGTTGTATTTGGTGAAATTGTTGGAGGTATACATATTTAAGTTGAGTATATGTTCACCGAAATTCATACGAACAACTGGTAAGC